ACTCAATCCCATTCACCTCCGAAAACATATTTATACTGTACGTCTCCAAATAATTCCTGGCACGTTTCAACAAGTAAAAATAGACTCGAGAAAAACTTTTGAAAAAGAAACGAAAGACTTCCTCGTGTTGAGTTTGGCAGCTTCCAGGATTTCAGTTCCTGAATCCTTTTTATATTTATATTTTATATTTATATATATATATATATATATATATATACCTGTAGAATAAGAATCACGGTATACACCTGTCCACTCACACACACACACACACACACAGGGCTACAGATTTATGAGCTAACAACCACTTTTTGTGTGAACGCAGCGTTGGACTGTTGATTTTTATCTGTAATAGTTGTGTAGTGATGATCACCTCTGGGCTACAGAGCAGTGTGAGGCTGAGAGTACTGTACACACACACACACACACACACACACACACACACACACACACACACAGAGCAGAGCTGGTTAGTATCAGGTTTGTGATGGATGGAGGATGAGGTCAGTCCTGAGGGGGGATCCAGACTCTCTGGAAAAGACCTGTTGTTCTCTCTCTCTCTCTCTCTCTCTCTCTCTCTCTCTCTCTCTCCCACTGTCTCTCTGTGTCTCTCCCCCTGCTGTGCTGCAATCCTCTGATGATCTCATCCACTCACACACACACACACACACACACACACACACACACACACACACAACACACACTCATCACATCCTGGGGAAAACACTGCTGGTGGTTCCCTCTTAAAGGAGCTTCAGAGTGTTTAGATGTTGATCACCTACATAAATAAACTTCCTGCGTGATGCATCGGTTCGAGATGTGAAGCGGTGTCATTTTGAAAACACATCGAAGGCGTTTCTCTTCTTTTTGTTTCACCTCGCCTGTGTTTACACGAGTGAGAGCTTCTGTAAAAGCTGCTTTTGATTGGTTGGATTTATGAGGTGATAATGAGTTCTGGTCTGAATCCTGTTTTAAAATATCATCCACACACACTGAAAAGTGTTTCATATCCTGAAGATACATTTTATCCATCACAGCAGAGGATGTTTTATCCCCATCATTTCTAATATTATATAATATTATTATTAATAATATTTAAACAATAAATACATTTTAACACAATAAATGACAGAAAACAGCACAAATAAAATAATAAAAGTTAAAGTGAGTTCAATAAATAGTTTTAATACGCAGCATTGACGTCGAACTACAGGTGCTGAACGCCTGCCAGCTTAAAAATAGTTTCATTGTGGTTACCACATTTGACCCGTGACAGTCCGAGGTTGACTGACTGGCAGAACGATTCAGCCTCAACCTCGTATGGGGGCGTGCCTTTCTGGGCACGAATCAATATATTTACCCCACGTAGCGCACAGCGTACAGGTCTAGCCGGTTTACCATCCTGCATGTGGGCTCTTCTCAGGCTGCTGCTCTCCTCAGCTGAGAGGAGGTTGAGCTGGATGGAGGAACGAGTGTAATTGGGCCTGTTTCCTGTGGTGAAAGTGACGGGGGATTTCCCCTCACTTTCGTCACCGCTTCCTTTTTGAAATGGTTTGATCATCAGCAGTGATGAGGTGAATTATGTGCAATTATTGCGTTGTTGTTTTTATTGTTCACATGACTACTGCCTGTAAACCGAATGTCCCTCAGTGCAGGACGTTTAAACTGGTGCCTTACTGTGAGTGTGGGTTTTACGGAAGCTGAATATTTATTTTTTCTGAGTTTAGAGAGCATTTGAAACAATAGACTTGTTCATTCCTTTATTGAGAGCTCGATTTAACGGAAACAAACATAACCGGCTTGTTTAGTTCAATCAAGTTTTACTTTGATCTGGGTTTAAGACACTGGGAGATAGTCCTGTCTTTAAGTCATGTAGATGGTATTATCATTAGTTTGTTGACTCTACGCAGGAACCTGAGGACAGTAGATAGTTGAAGATGGGGCATGTATGTGCAGGCAGGAGTCACTATAGGTCCATGGGAGACACTTGCAGGTTGGAGGTTCTCGCGGGAGTTTGAAGTATCTCGATATTTCAGAAAGAAATTACTCCAAAAAACAGAAAAAATTATTCAAATAAACAAACAAAAAAATAAATGACTAAAATTGTTTTTTTTCAAGTGAATGCAATACGCTTCCGTAGGGTTTAAAGGGACAATTCACCCCCAAATTAAAACAACATATTTCCCTCCAACGTGTAGAGCTGTTTATCCATCTCGACCAGGGGTCGGCAACCTTTACTGTCCAAAAAGAGCTGATTTGGGGGTGAGCTGTCCCTTTAAGATTATTACTGACTGATTAAAATAAAAGCCTTTTTCACAGCGGACATTGGGACTTTTGGAAGAACTGGTTTCAGATTAAATCAAGATCAGACTGAGAGATTTGGTGAATCATAAACTCTTTGCTGAAAGAATTAAAATTGGAATTGAAATCTTTGCTGGTGGATTCAATTTAACCCCAACAGTCTGCAGTCTGCTGTCTGCTGGGATTTTAGGCTAAAAGATTTTAAAAATAGACCAATATGTGGGGACAGACATGCTTTTTATAAGTAAATGAATCTGTTAATCTCTTAATATGATGCAGTTAACTTTATTCTTTACTGTTGGTGATCATACAGCATCTGACTGAAACAGGTCCACATGTTCGGCTGATGAATTTATTTTAATAACACATTTATTTAATTTATTTAACTTAATTTTTTACTGAACTGACTTTCATCAACCGGTATTTAGTCTTGAGAACACAATATTGATTTCACATTTTTCTCTGTTGTACTTCAAAACCAAACATGAAGAAAGAAACAGATGCTGGCAGGAAGATTTTACGCTAACAGCAGATTTACAGTGTGGACCTTTCAAAATAAAACCCTTGACTTTTTAATGTTTTTTTTTCATTAGATGAATAATGGTTGAGAGCATTGATCCACACAGCAAAAAAATAAAACCAAAACGCTGAATTCAGCTCGTTCTGAAGGTTGACTGCGCTTTGTGTGTGTGTGTGTGTGTGTGTGTGTGTGTGTGTGTGTGTGTGTGTGTGTGTGTGTGTCCTCTAAAGTGAGACATTGCCTTAAGTTAAGGTTAAAGTTGAGAATTAATTGGAGTCAGTGAAACCCGAGCGCAGCAGTAAAATAATGCATAGTGTGTGTACAGAGGTGTCACACTCAAACACACACCCAAGGACACATGATTCAGCTGTGTGCAATTACACACCCACACACACACACACACACACACACACACACACACACATAGACATAGCATGTCACGACAGACACTCACTGTTTCATGATGATGATTTGCTTTGATGAGAGAAACACATCTGGTACAACAGGTCTCACACACACACACACACACACACACACACACACACACACACAGTTTCCAGGTGTTCAAAAAGCGTTTCTGAATTCTCATTTTTCTTTTTGGTGCCACGTCCTCCGCTCTGATTGGCCAGTTTTTCTCTGCCGTGGCTCCTAACTGGTGAACAATGAGGTGGTTCATTAGCTGGAGCTCCCTTCCAGTATGTGTTATTCAAACTGTCTCATACATCAATAACACACAAGCTGCTGTGGTTTTGTTGTCTGCACTGGATCTGGTCCTGAACCTGATGATGTTGTTCTGGTTTAAGTTGGTTTCTGCTCAGTTGAAACTTTCTCAGCTCTCCCACGTCGCACGCAGTCGGTTGCAGAGACGAGAAGGAAGAGAGATGGCTCACTCGTCAGATTCTTCCTCGTCATCAGCTCTGGAAACAATGTGTGTAGTTAAGAATCGAGTGTGAACCCAGTGTGACGTCTCCCATCGGTTTGTTGGGTTTTGAAGCCTCGAGTTCGGCGTTACAGTCGTCGCCACGACAGTTTGTCGGAGCCAGCGGAGGTGAGGTTGAGCTGCTCTCATTGGATGGACAGGTTCGACTCGTCCGTAGCAGGAAACAATGACAGCTCGTCTGGTCACACACACCGTCTTGTATTCCAGATAAACAGTACAATGTGTGTGTGAACAGATCTGAGGAGAGAAATAGTCAACAACAGAATCTGGATCCATATCTGATCAGCAGTTTGGTGCGTCACTGAGAATGAGCTGTAACCTCAGCTGGAGAATCTTAACATTAGAAGATAATATAATGCATCGTATCACATCGGGTTTCCCAAAGCTGATAATGGAAGCAGTTAAGGAGTGAGCGAAAACGGCGGTGGGTAAAGACAAAGTTTATGACCTGACGTGCAAGCGAGCATTTCAGTGATCCTGGAAACAGGAGTGTAGCCCGGTGGCGTTAGAGGATGTTGGTCTGTTGAGGCGTTGTTGGTTTATAACTAACACATAAAACAACCTGTCTAAGGGTTCAAGTATAAACTGACTTTCTGACACCAGGCAAGTGAAGACTGGACACTGACTGATGTGCTGCACACCGGATATGGACAGTCACAAAGAAGTGGCGGAGGTTAATTCAGTGCAATAAGGGAGTGACTTTGGACTCAGGAGCCGTCGTCTCGTTGAGAGATCATCGACAAACGAGGTCAAAGTTGAAACGCTTGATGTGAAGACGATGTCCGACGGCAGCGACGAGTCGTCTCACTCTCTTATTGTCTCTCTCTCTCTCTCTCTCTCTCTCTCTTGCTCACACAGTCCCCCCCCCTCTCTCTCTTTTTGTCGCTTCCTCCCTTCTCCGTTTTGGCACATGTTGCCACGGTAACCACTGCCTCTTTTTTTGGCTAAGTTGTAGTGGTGCAGTTTTTAAGGCCCATACTGGTTTCCACCACTCCTTCATTTACGCAATCAAACACACCTGCTAACACCCCCTCCTCACACACACACACACACACACACACACACACACACACCGTCATCAACACCTCCACTGCCTGCATCCATCTCTCTACACACACACACACACACACACAGTCACGCCTACACACACGTACAGGAGGTCTGATTTGCCTTTGATTTGTCTTCTCTCTCTCTCTCTCTCTCTCTCTCTCTCTCTCTCTCACACAATCTCTCTGCTTTCAGATTCCACAGGAGATTACCCAGAGTGCCGCCGGCCTGAGGATCATCCAGAAGAGAGAGAGAGAGGGACGAGAGGGAGAGAGAGAGAGAGAGAGAGAACGAGGAGGACGCACACGGTGATTGGAGGAGGAGGTGGAGCCTCAGAAAGACTCCCCTCTCCCCCCCTCATGTGAAGCCCCTCCCCTCTGAGGAAGTGCAGTGAGTAGCTTCAACCTTTTTTTGGGGGGGGGAGACAGACTTGTTGTGTTTCATATGAGCAATGTGCTTTTATTTTGAAAAGTGCAGCGCCTCCTGTTTGATGGTCAGTTTAGGGCTTTTATTGACGTAAACAAGCAGCATTACCGTATTATCGTGTATTCTCCGGAGCTGGTGTAGATGCTCGAGGCGCTACATTAGCCTGTAGCGTGCTAGCTGTAGTGTCACAGGATAATGTAACGAATGCTGCCGTGTTCTGGCTTTCGTCGTGGTGGAAAAAGCACTTTAAGTCCTGTTATACAACCTTAAATCTCCCTGCTTTAACCACAGAAAAACTATTGTACAAAAGCTCCGACATGGTGGGCTGAGGGGTTGCTGGACTCCTGTCGAAACACAGCTAAATGCTATTATGGCAGTCGACTGGTTTAATGGCGACCCTGCGGGATGATGTGACACTTGTGGTCCTCAATCCAAGAAATAAATAAATAACTGGTCATGTGACGTTGCTGAGCTGTCGCAGGTGTGTTGGGCCGTAGCCAGTGGGCAGGTGAGCCTCCTCTTGTTGCAGCAGCTCTTCTTCTTTATCCCAAACAACCCAGATTTCATTTTCATCTGCAGTGAAAGATCTACAGTTGCTTTTTCTAGTGAGCTGGTTCTATTGCTGTAGTGTAAAAGTGTGTTTTATATATGTATGAATGAGCGTTAGCAAACTGGCTGCTTTAACACTGAAGTAACAAAAACTGCAGTTCCTGTAACGGCCACTAGAGGCTGGCTCCATAAGGCTCCATATTAAAATGCCCAACTTTACAGCAGAAATAAACATGTTTACAGCCTGGTTCAAAAAAACACATTCATGACAGCAGGAGGTCCATTTTTATATAACTCACCCGTTTGAATTATATTAAGGCTTAAAGTTGTGCATAATTAAGGGCGTCGCCACATCGATTGACAGGTGGGTGCCGTCACAGGCAGCTGTTTTCAGTCACCAGACTTCGGAGCTTCGGAAACCTGTGGCGGACGTCAGAGAGACTACATACGTCCTCTTTCAATACACAGTCCATGTTTGTGATCCTCCTCTGAGATTCTGTGGGGCTTTAAGTGTTTAGAAAAAGCTTTGGAAATGAGGAAAACAGTTGTTAAAGTTAAGGATTTGTCTCTTAAATCTAAAAGGCGGTCATTAATGTGTGAACCTGATCCACATACTCATGCTCCACAGGTACCTGTAGACCACAATCCTTTATTATCAAATGTGAGGATTTGCTGCTTTTCTCTGTTTCATATCATTGTGATCTGTTTGGTTGATTTGAAGACGTCTCTTTGGGTTTTCTGATGGGGATGTTATTCTGTTTTATGACATGTTAGTGCTGCTTCAGCTCCTATCATCCTCTTTCTCATAGTTGAATAAAGTTAAATAATACTTAACTGCAGTGCAGTGAGTTTTTTGCAACTTTTACATATTTTTAGCCACAAACGTCAGAAATGAACCATGAATCCTGCGCCTGCATTAATTATCCAGCTAGTCAGAGATCGCCTGTGAAACAAACACTTTGCAGACCCTCAAAACTCCAACGTGACCCGAACAGCTTTAATAAACACAGAGGGAGATGAGGTGTTGCTAGACTGAAATTACATGTCAAAATGTAACCAGGAGAACATCCAAAAGCTCAGTGTGAAAGCACATCACTGGTCTAACTTTAAATTTAGAATTTCTTCAGGTTATCTCTCCTTCTTTCTTTGATATTTGTATGTGTATCGTGTCACCCAGTACGAGAAACAAACTGTCAGAAAGAAAGTCTCCACATTTTGTAGTAAAGAGTGCCGACTGTAAAGCAAGCTGGTGTAAATCCCAGAGATTTGTTCAGAGCGATGAGTCAGTCAGAGCAGGATCTGATCAGACGGCTCAGAGGAGAAAATCCACGAGGAGAAACAGAGAACCAGATCCTCAGCGGAGGAGGAGAGGAAGAGAAATGAGGGGAAATCTTCGCATCAGCTCATATTTACGTAGATAAAATCTCACACTGTGATCCTTGATGTACATGATTAAAGAAATTCACATTCAATACGTGCGCATAAAAAAAGTCAGAAAGCACCGTGTGTGGTTAAAAGAACGAAACAGAGAGCATCATCTCGTCTTCGCCGCCTGTCCCTCCACAGGTGTTTGCCCTGTTTTTACCGAAATTATACACTGGTGTCGGGTACAATCACTTCTCGTCCATCAGGAAGAGGAAACTTAAAAGTGAAATCAAACCCAGCCTCGCGTCTTTGGGCTCTTTTGTCCCCTCAGCGTCCTTCAGTCCCTCAGAAAGTGGGGGAAAGAGGCTGAAAAACACAATTTGGCTAAATTCAAGGCCTTGAGATCCACTCAGTGTAAAGTCTTATTTTGTCACTTTGAATACGGCTGTTTTTCTCCTCCTCCCTGCATTATCAAACACACCACAGACCCCTCTGGAAAACCTTGAAAGTCAGAGTCTAGTTTTCCAGTCATGAAACCACCTAGAAATTGATTAAAATGGCCAAATATCCTGGAAATGATCTTATATTTTAGCCCCTCAGTCAGACCTGGGTAGACCTGGCTGTGAAACTCGACCGTTGGTAGACGCTTCAGAGTAATTCAGTCGTAGTTTACGAGACGTGGAGCAGAACGGACTTGCACAAACAGCACTTCTAGAAACAATTATTCTTAAATATAATCAGAATTTTGAGCTTAAAAAGAGTGGGAACCCTGACACAGTTCTGCATCACTTAACAATTACATTTTCCTGTTCAGTTTCATCTAAAGAAACAACTTCCTTAAAATGCTGAATTGGGGTTTCAGGCTGAAATCGTGCCGTAAAGGCTGGTGGTGAAGACGAGTACGAGAAAGAGGAGCGCCATTGTCGAGAGAAGAGGGTGAGAGAGTCACACCTCGAAGACTGAGAGGTTTTGGGATGAAGGCAGAGACACCCTTTTGTATAGAAAGTGGCTCCGGGAAAAAGTCAGAGAGACACTTTGAGAGATGTGACATTTCATTCCCAAAATTCAAAACACAGGTCCAGTTTTCTGCAGATTGGCTTTTGTAGATTTTAAAAAAAAGTGTAGATGGAGTGAGGAAGAGCAGGTTTGAGGGAGAGCAAGAGGAAAAATCACATTTGAGAGCAAAGTATCAAATGATCCAACAGCAGGAAGAACAAAATGAGAAGCAGAGTTAAGAGAAGAGAGAAGGGGATTTGATACTTGAGGAAAAGAAAAGAGCAGCAGAAAGAGGACTAATGGAAGAGACACGTACTTCAAACTGTATATACAGTCTGAGCCAGACGGAAAGAAGAGAGTCCGAGATGGTTTTTGAATCAGGTAGAGAGTGAGTGTGTGTGTGTGTGTGTGTGTGTGTTGGAAAACAGTGTCGATCCCTCCTGAGCTGGAACCAACATGCTCAGTTCAGCAGGTTCATGCAGTAACAGTTTAAACATGGCAGCGTCCACAGCCTCCGGTGCCCCCGCGGCACCGAACTAAACCGCCTTTGTAGTCCGAGCTGCCACAGAGGCTGCTGCTACGTTAGACGATTGTGTGATTTGGGAGAGCACACATTCGGGGGAACTTTTCAACAAAGCTTGTTTCAGTCGAGGCAGTCAGTCAGTTTGTGTTAAAAGTTTTGGTAACCACATCTGGAGCCGGCAGGGAGGTCCAGGGTATTTGTATCAGTCAGCTGACCCCAAAATAGCTCGCTGACGATTGACACTAGATTCATTCAGTAAAGTCTGACATGTAAATCTGACTTCAGATGAGTTCATGAGAAACGTCTTTACAGGACGAGTTCATTAGGAAAATGCAGAAAATAGAAATCCGCTTGACTGCCAAGCACGTTGTGTCCACCACAGCAAAGACACGAGCACGAGATCAATACAGCGTCAGTCAACCGTCTTTAGAGGAAGTTCTTACTTGAGAACAGTGAAAACCAGCCACTACTGTTCGTAGTTTCTGACGCCACAGCTCACCTGTTCTTTCCAGTGACCCCATCAGGGAGACGGTCGGTGAATCCCAGCTGTCTCCGATAAAAGTTGGTGTAAAATGATCACTGCAGAGGGGAGTGTTAGTGGTGGTCCTCACCTCTCTAGTAACGTGCTATAACATCCAGGGAAGATGCATTTGCAGGATGTTGAAGGCGTGCTTTAGCTAGCATGCTGTGGCTAAAAATTAAACAGAAACAGTTGTAATAACTGAAGAACGAGCGGGAGAACCATTGACATGGATTATACTGGTATCGTTGCTGTGCGTCATCCCGCCATACTTTAAGCCCCACCCCAAAAAAGTCCTGAGTCTAACGGTTTAACTCCACAATTCAGTACTACATAGTTCACTCTTTTATAATGTTTTAAATAATTACATACTGACATGTTTAATGTGTTTAGAGAGAAATCACTGAATAAGACGTATCTTCTTATTTAAGGTGCCATCGTTGCCTCAGTATTGATGATTGGTTTGTGAACTCTTTATTCCTTGTGTCTATTCATTTAATAAAATGTTACTTATTTATTAAATTGTATCCAGCATTTAGCCAGCATGTTTGTACCCTTTGCTGCACAGGAAGTCTGAACATTTGTCTCAAAATACAATAAAATATGAAAAGAAACGTGTTTTTTCTACAAGTTTGGGTCTTGAAAACTAATTTGTCTTCTGGGGATTTTGAGAATGGTGGTGATTTGAAAAACTGTCAAGGATGTAACTTAACGATGTATCTCAGATGAATCCTCAAGATCTACAAGGATTTAAGCCTTTTGCTCGTCCCTTCCTCAGCTCCATTCATCGCTTGTCCAAATTAGGATTTTATGGCTCCAAATAACTCACAAATATGGCAATGAGCAACTCCAGCCTTTCAAAGTGTCCCCCCAGCAACGTCAGGCTGACGACACAGATGCTATTTTCACATTCTTCTGCCCTCTGGCTTCTACTAGCTACGAATACCAACGGTGCTGTTCAGATTACTCTACGCCCAGTCAGTGATAACTATTCACCAAATAGTCGCTCGC